CAGAGTAAGAAAGTGCAGTCTGAGGACACCGAACTTGAAATGGGGGTAGCGCTGGCATGTCTACTTTCAGATCCTCCGATCGACCAGGAATGCTTGGGGGATAACTTCTCGGAATGCATGATCGGGAATGGAACGGCTGCGGGCCCACCAGCAACTATTTTGGATGCATCTATCGCACCCTCTCTCATTTGGCAGTATGAAGAGGGATTTTTGTCCAATAGCACCGGGTCAGGTAGTGAGCCGGAATCTGATTCCACCGAGTCTTGTGAGTCAGAATCAGGTTCCAGCTCGACTGAGTCTGAGTCTGGTATTCCTGGGGATGATAACCCGGATGCCACAGTCTTGTCCAGGTCGTCTTTTTCTTTCTCTTTTGAGTCTATTGTAACCGAAGAATCGGACGATTTGGATGTGCTTAATGAGAATCAAGTAGCTGTGGTTTCTGAGTACTTTTCTGTGCCCTTGATTTATTGCATTAACTCAAACTTTCAAAATTTTCATGAAAACGACGAGGATGAAATTCCTCCGATTTTGCAACGTTTAATTGAACAAGAGCATGAAAGATTTGTTAAACCCCTAGTTGATGAAATTACTACAGTGAATATTGGTACTGAGGAGGACCCGCGGCTGGTCCAGATCGGGTCCACATTGTCTTCGGAGGAACGCGAGCGTTTAGTCGATTTATTAAAAGATTTCAAAGACGTTTTTGCGTGGTCCTATGAAGACATGCCTGGAATCGATCCTGAGATTGTACAGCACCGGATCCCTCTTGACCTTGAGGCCCGACCCGTCAAGCAGAAACTCAGGAGGATCCGCCTGGATTGGGCTCTCAAGATTAAGGAAGAGGTCACCAAGCAAATTGACGCAGGCTTCCTGCTGGTATCCGAATACCCGACTTGGTTGGCCAACATCGTCCAAGTGCCGAAGAAGGATGGCAGGATCTGAGTGTGCGTGGATTTCAGGAATTTGAACAGAACTAGTCCGAAGGACGACTTTCCCTTGCCGCATATTGATGAGTTGGTGGATTTCACAACGGGGCATGCTTTGCTTTCGTTCATGGATGGCTTCTCAGGCTATAATCAGATAGTGATGGCACTAGAAGACCAGGAAAAGACTGCTTTCACCATTCCGAGGGGGACCTACTGCTATAGAGTGATGCCGTTTGGGTTGAAGAATGCTGGAGCTACATATCAACAGGTCGCAACCACAATATTGCATGATATGATCCACAAAGAAGTTGAGGTGTATGTGGATGACATGATTGTCAAGTCCAAAGAAAGAGAGGGTCACTACACCGCCTTGCAAAAGTTCTTTCAAAGGATCAGAGAATTTCGGTTGCGGCTAAATCCTCAGAAGTGTACGTTCAGTGTTACAGCGGGAAAAATGCTGGGGTTTCTAATTACACAAAGGGGCATCGAGGTCGACCCTTCAAATATCAAGGCCATCTTAGAAATGCCATCACCAAGGACTGAAAAGGAGGTGCGAGGCTTTCTGGGTAAAGTGCAATTCATAAGACGGTTTATCTCAAAATTAACCTTGACTTGTGAACCACTTTTTGGTCTCCTGAAGAAAGGCAAGAAATTCTAATGGGACGGCCGATGCTAAGCTGCTTTTGAACAGATCAAGGAATATCTGCAGAACCCGCCCGTGTTGTCACCGCCAGAGCCGGGGAAACCGTTGATATTATATCTTTCAGTGACTGGGACCACAATGGGCTATATGCTCACACAAGAATCCAATGACAATGTGGAGAGGGCTATCTACTATCTGAGCAAGAAGATGCTAGAGTATGAGACTTGCTACACACCGTTGGAGAAGGCTTGCTTAGCTTTGGTATGGGCTACCAGGAAGCTGTGGCACTACCTGTTAGCTCACTCCGTAATGTTGGTTTCACGACTCGATCCCATCAAATATCTTTTCAAGAAACCGACACTTACGGGTAGGCTGGCTCGTTGGTTGCTGTTGCTCTCCGAATTCGACCTGAAATATGTAACACGCAAGTCAGTCAAGGGAAGAGCAGTGGCAGAATTCTTAGCCGATCATCCAATGAAAGGGGGTGAAGCAGTTGAATACTTATTTCCAGATGAAGCCATTTTGCACATTGACGATGAGTATTGGACAATGTACTTTGATGGGGCATCAAATCAGTACGGGTATGGGATAGGAGTGTTGCTAATAGCACCTGACAATTCCCGTATCCCTCTAGCCTTCAAACTCTGGTTCAAAGTCTCGAATAACGAAGCAGAATATGAGGCATACATTGCCGGTCTAGAAGCAGCCCTGGAATTAGGGGCAAGACTGTTGGACGTCATCAGGGATTCAAACCTTGTTGTGTCCCAAGCAAAAGGAGACTGAAAAGTCAAAGAAGAAAAGATGATGATGTATCACCAGACCTTGGACTTATTAATTCCTCGGTTTGAAAAGCTAAACTTTGCTCATCTTCCAAGAGAGAACAACAGGTTTGCAGATTCTTTAGCAACTCTATCTTCCATGATAGCCATCCCGTTTGGAATCCGGATGCGTCCAGTCATCATTGACCAGAAATTTGCGCCAGCTTATGAGTCGATCGCTGCTATAGATGAGGTTCAGGACGAAAACCCCTGGTATTATGAAATTTCGAATTTCTTGGAGAAGGAAGCATATCCGCCAAGGGTAAATGCCAAGGATAAAAGGGCAATCAGAAGAATGGCCGTTCAATTCATCATCTGTGGGGGTAAGTTGTATAGGAGAGGTCATCTGAGAATGCATAAGCTGTGTGTTGAAGCCGAGGAATCGAAGCGCCTGATGGAGGCCATCCATGGAGGAGAATGCGGTGCGCATATGAACGGAGTAATGCTAACACGGAAGATCCTCAGACAGGGTTACTACTGGTCCACCATGGAGGAGGATTGTATCGGTTTTGTTCGGCGATGCCATAAGTGTCAGATTCATGCAAACCGCATGAACATCCCGCCGTCGAAGCTGTACAACATGACTTCACCATGGCCATTTTCAGTTTGGGGAATTGATGTGATCGGGGCTGTCACTCCAAAAGGGTCGAATGGGCATGAGTTCATCCTGGTCACGATAGATTACTTTACAAAGTGGGTCGAGGCCCAATCATATGCCGTGTTGAAGGCGTCGCACGTTGCAAAGTTTATCAGAAACAACATCATCTGTCGCTATGGGGTCCCAAACGAGGTCATTTCAGATAATGGTTCCCACTTTAAGAAGGAAGTGATTGACTTGTGGGAGAAATACAACGTAGCTTTTC